GTAAATTAGTATATATATATTAAAAAAAAAAAATTTATTGTTGATTTTAGGAAATCTGCTTCTTCTGCGGTGGCTTCTGCCGCTTCTGTGAGAAATCATTCTCGAAGTCTTGAGGTTTGGATGCCAGAAGATAGACTTTTTATTATCAATTTATTATTATCGTTATTAGACAATGAAGCCGAGAAACTCTGCAGAGAATCTATAGAGTCTGTGTCTGCACACTGTTTTTCCTCAAGGCGTGTTCAACTAATTTCATACATTGTCGTTATTATTTATCATCTTTTTTTTTTTTTTCCTTTTTTGGCTGTGCCTCCAGTCTGTTGTTAGGAAGTAGACAGGAGGCCTCGATTTATGTTCAGTGAAACGAGGAGGCCTCATCATATATTTTGTCTAATGTCCAAATAGGAATTGCAGCTTCACCATAAAATGTATTTTCGTAATGTCTTCACATTCTCATGCAGGCCTCCATACACACAGGCAAACACATGATGATAAAAGTAGAATAAATTGATACATAAATGGCTATATTCACATTGATTTTACTTGATTAATTCACATTTTGACGAATGAAAAATCCTCTACACTTCCAGAAAGAAATTCCTGTTCAGTGAAGCTCCTCCCACAAACCCTGCAGAATGAAAAACACTGAAGATACTGAAGAACAAACAGGTTGGTGTTTATCCTTGATTCCTCATTCATTCGTGATGCTGAAGAACATTCATGTTACAAAGATTCAAGCACTTCATCGGGTTTAGATAACAACAATTAAGTGCCACTTCAGTCAGTGCTTAAGGAGCAGTTTTAGACATTGATAAAAGTTGCTTTTAGCTTTTTTATAAACCCCATGACGCTTTGCGCAAATTATGGGAGTAACTTTGGTTTAACTTTACACTGTAAACAATCAGAAAATGTTTGCTCTATGAACACAATAATAAGCATTTTCAAAAAATGTGTACAATGAGGTGACATTATTTTACTCACCCTTCAACCATCGATCATTAAAAGGAAATTTAAAAGTGTAAGCGCATTAACAGATTACTTTCAACATACCATGAATAACTCCTAAAGAGCCTCCTTCTGTCTGCAGCAATATTACAGACGTGTTAAATATCATCATAGTAATATATGTCTATATTTCGTAACAATTACATTTTACAGCGTCCATGTGAAAACAAACCTGGAAAGAGACGTGAGGATTTGGGGAGAAAAATAATTCTTAGTGCATTCCAGGGAATTATTCATGGCTTATATGGTAAATTAAATGGGGAGAGCAGACCACAAATGCACAGTATGTTGTCTTTTTTCTTTTACTTACAGCGGAATACAAAGAAAACATGAAAATTATCAGGAGGAACATAATGCAGTGAGCTTGAAAGAGCTATTCATTCATTATTCATTAATCTACCAAACGTGATGTTATTCTCCTGACTTCTGAAAATAGAAAATGAATGAAAATGTACAACCCATTAAGTCAAAATGACGGATAAGGATTTTTTGTAGTGCAATCTTATGATTTGAAATGATTTGTTGCAATCTTTTTGAGTGGAACTTCATGATTCAGACACACTTTGGTCCAAGTGTTGGGAACATTTAGTTTTCAAAAGCATCCTGCAAGAAAAATAAATGTTAGTAATGATTAATTAAAAATTGTAATATACCTCATTCATGGGAAGTTTCAGGGACATACTTATTTTATTAAAATGATTGTTGTATTTTATAGCAATTGTCTATTACTTCAGTGCTTACTTTTATGTTTTTTTCACTTTATATTTCTCTCTGAATTATTTTGAAATCCTGAAAATTACATTTTTTTTTTTTTTCTTTTGTTTCAGAGCTGATGGAAGAGAACGAGGAGAGTGAAGAACTGAGTGAAGTGGAGGAGAAACATCATGACAAACATGGAGAAAAACATTTGAGTCTCTCAAAGACTAAAAAGACATTTTTAAAGAAAAGAAGAGCCAAGGAATCTTTCACCTGCACTCAGTGTGAAAAGAGTTTCTCAAGGAAATATAATCTTGAGCTTCACATTAGAGTTCACACTGGAGAGAAACCGTTCACGTGTGATCAGTGCGGGAAGAGTTTCACACAATCAGCAAACCTTAAAGGACACATGAGAATTCACACCGGAGAGAAGCCGCACACTTGTGTTCAATGTGGGAAGAGCTTCACAGGAAAAGCACACCTTAAACAACACATGCGAATCCACACTGGAGAGAAGCCGCATACATGCGATCAGTGTGGGAAGACTTTCACACGCGAAACAAGTCTTGAGCTTCACATGAGGATCCACACTGGAGAAAAGCCTTTCAGCTGTGAAAAGTGCGGGAAGAGTTTCACACAAAAAATACATCTTAGGCAGCACATGAGGATCCACACTGGAGAGAAACCATACCCATGCGATAAATGTGGGAAGGGTTTCACGAATTCATCACACCTTAAGAGTCACATGAGGATCCACACCGGAGAGAAGCCGTTCATGTGTGATCGGTGTGAAAAGACATTCTCATGCAAACACAATCTTGATCATCACATGAGAGCTCATACTGGAGTGAAGCCGTTCATATGTGATCAGTGTGGGAAGAGTTTCATGGACTCTTCAAAACATAAAAGACACATGAAGGTCCACACTGGAGAGAAGCCGTTCACATGTGATCAGTGCGGGAATAGCTTTAAAGAAAAAATAGACCTTAAAAAACACATGAGGATCCACACTGGAGAGAAACCTTACGCATGTGATCAATGTGGGAAGAGTTTCACAGATTCAGCGTACCTTAAGATTCACATGAGGATCCACACCGGAGAGAAGCCGTTCGAGTGTGATCAGTGTGAAAAGAGATTCTCAATTAAAAGTAGACTTCAACTTCACATGAGAATCCACACCGGAGAGAAGCCATATGCATGTGATCAATGTGGGAAGAGATTCCCAATCAAAGCAAGTCTTGAGCTTCACATGAGGATCCACACGGGAGAGAAGCCGTTCATGTGTGAACTGTGTGAAAAGAGATTCTCAATAAAAAAAAATCTTAAACTTCACATGAGGATCCACACCGGAGAGAAGCCATTCACATGTGACAAGTGTGGAAAAACATTTTTCTGGGCATCAAACCTGAAGAAACACCTGACAGTTCATACGAAGGAGAAGCCGCATTCATGTTCTGAGTGTGGAAAGAGTTTTTCACTGCTGCAAAGTTTAAAAAAACATCAGAAAATACATACTGGTGTGAAGGAGTACATGTGCTTTGAGTGTGACAAGACTTTTATTTCAGCTGGACATTTGAAACTGCACCAGAGGATTCACACTGGAGAGAAACCGTACAAGTGTTCACACTGCGACAAGAGATTCAGTAGTTCAGCACATATGAGAAGACACGAGATGATCCACAGAAGAGAGAAACCGCACACGTGTGATCAGTGCGGGAGGGGTTTCGCTTTTAAAAGTCACCTGAAGACACACATGAGGATCCATGATACCGCTTAGTGGAGAAAACAGTTAGTTTCCTAACAGTCATGATGAGTGACGGTGTTGGTTGATTGGTATTTGTTACCTCCCGTTCACACCAGCACGACTGTTCGGAACAAAAATTCAGTCCAATTTTCACATGAGATATGTCGTCAGACTAATGCAATAAACAGCAGTAAATGCACATTCACTCTCCGTTCATGTGTGATCAGCGTGTAAAGACTTTCATGGACTCTGCAAAACATAAAAGACACGTAAAAATCCACACCGGAGAGAAGCTGTTCACATGTGATCAGTGCGGGAAAAGCTTCAAATCAAAAACAGACCTTAAGAGACACATGAAGATCCACACTGGAGAGAAGCCACATGTATGTGATAAATGTGGGAAGAGTTTCACAGATCAGTGCAGTTTCCTTGTGCTCTTCCACTTCTACTCCTCTTCTTCTCTTGAGATGCTTTGGCTCTTATAAGCAAAAAGAAAAAGATCTGTCTCATTTGGTTTCACTTGTACTTTTTTTTGTATTTGCTTCAAGTAATGATTGATTTAACTCATGATTCCTTTTATTAACAACTCATTGACTACGTTTACATGGACAACAATACTCCAATTTTAATACGATTAAGACAATACTCTGATTAAGAATCTACCATGTAAACAGAGATTTTTGATTACCTTAATCTGGCTAAAGTCATAATCAAAGTAAACACTAATCTAATTAAGACATGTGGAGTATTCCTATTTTAGTCGCATTACTGAAGTGCAGAATAGACATGTACACACCTTAATCACATTATTACCATCGTGTAGGACTTTTCGCCACATTTTGCGAAAGGTACACACACGGCAGTGGTCAACCGTTTGACGGCAAATAAAAGAACACCTGCCGTCGTCTGTATGCACGTACAAATAATTAACTGCACTTGAAGCATTCATAAAATTAAAAATGAAACACCTAAAACTGTACATGCTTTTCGCCGCATTTTGTGACAGGATACACACACGGCAGTGGCCAACCGTTTGACGGCAAATAAAAGAGCCTCAACGCCGCCATCGTCTGTATGCACGTACAAATAATTAACTGTACTTGAAGCTTTCATAAAATTAAAAATGAAACACCCAAAACTGTACATGGCATCATCACGAAGAAGAACTATATGTTTATACGTGAAATTCCAGAGGGGACATAGGATGGCGTCACGTGGGGACGTAATGCCATGTGCCATTAATCGAACTATGTACTATAACATGTAAAATGGGAAAATGAAAGGAATATTCTAAAAGCAACTCATGTAAACACCATGATCATAATATTGGCTTATTTAGAATAAGGTAAATAATTAGATTACTGATGTCCATGTAAACGTAGTCATTGTTATTGTCCATTTTTTTATTTTATGCTCATTCTGTTTGTATCAGGAATAGTTTGAGTTCTGAAAGCCATGATGTTGCCTATTGACCTTTTACACATTTCATGGTTTCTCAGCAGCGAAGTCGTCATAGTTGGGTAAACTTCTGTGGCAGTGAATGGGAGACTACCATAAATATTAATTTTTTTGCATTCCTATTTGCTCAAATAGTGAAAAAAAACTCCACTGATGGAGTGGATGTCGATCTACCATGGCCTTCATAATAAAATCAATTATATTATCTCTTGTGTTATTATTAATCAAGTTATTAATCAGTATTTAACCTCATAGAGTGTAGTTGATTGAATAAAGTTATTAGTTACCACATATTAGTAGTAAACACAAAGAAATGTATGCATACTGCTGTTGGAATGTGTCGGTGTCCCTTTAATGTGAAGAAACGTGCCTCTCCATATGTGAACTTTGGCTTTCTCCTCGCCGGTTCAATAGGCCACTGAATGCCTTGGCCATAGAGGTCATTGGGGCCTCTTGCCTACGTGACCAACGTGTACCCCAAACATTTATGTGGTTTTATATGTCTGTATGTAAAAGAATATGCTGAATATGGTCTGAATCTTCTCCCTCTTTCTCTCTCAAGGAAGAGACTCCCTGACTGTGTGTGGATGATAAGAGTAATAACGTAGCTACCCGACCTTGACGGAGATCAGTGTTGCTCTATGTATGTGTGTTGTTATCTGTTTGCGCAGGACCAGTTGATACCAGTCTTCAGGGAGATTCACAAACGGCACCCATGTGTAAAGACCATATGGACATCTTCCATCACCCTGGTGTCTAATACTAATCACTTGTCATCTAAATAACCTTCGGAGATATGCTTTATCAATTTTATGTGCATCTGTTAAGAGATTACTTGTTTTTCTGTAAACTGACCAATCGGAATCCATTTCACCTATGTATTGACTGCACCTATGTAATAGAATTAGCAACCTCTGTTAGAGTATAATTACTGGTGTTGTTAACATGTACGCAGAGTGGCCTACGAACTCCTCGCACGTATTGAAGCTGACTTCTGCTGATGAAACTGCAAACTATTTTCTTCAGTAAATTTTACTTCAGTTGATTGCATCTCTGACTCCTGGTCTTCATTCAACACACCTGGTTCTTGGGTCTTACATTTACATTCAGTCATTTAGCAGATGCTTTTATCCAAAGCGACTTACAAATGAGGACAATGGAAGCAATCAAAATCAACAAAAGAGCAATGATATACAAATGCTATAACAAGTCTCAGCTTAACGCAGTACACGTAGCAAGGTTTTTTTTTAAATAATATCATAAATAAATAGAAAACAGAATAGAATAAGAATAGAGCAAGCTAGTGTTAGAGGTATATTTGCTTTTGTTAATTGTACAATAAATGAAAAAACAATACAAAAAAAATAGAAAGCTAGAGTTTTTTTGTTTTTTTTTTAAAGAATAGAATTAGAATAGAGAGTGCTAGAGTAAGAGGGTCAAATAAAGCTAGAAGAGATGTGTTTTTAGCCGATTCTTGAAGATGGCTAAGGACTCGGCTACTCTGATTGAGTTGGGCATGTCATTCCACCAGGAAGGAGCATTTAATTTAAAAGTCCGTAAAAGTGATTTTGTGCTTTGGGATGGCACAATCAAGCGACGTTCACTTGCAGAATGCAAGCTTCTAGAGGCACATAATTCTGAAGTAATGAATTTAGGTAAAGGGGTGCAGAGCCAGTGGTGGTTTTGTAGGCAAACATCAATGCCTTGAAGCTGATCATCAATCATAACTCCAAGCTTTCTGGCTCTTTTTGAAGGAGTTATGGTTGATGTACCTAAATGGATGGTGAAATTGTGATGAAACGATGGGGTTGCTGGAACCACAAGCAGTTCTGTCTTGGCAAGGTTTAGTTGAAGGTGATGGTCCTTCATCCAGCAAGAAATGTCTGTTAGACAAGCTGAGATGCGAGCAGCTATCGTCGGATCATCAGGACAGAATGAGAGGTAAAGTGGAGTGTCGTCAGCATAGCAGTGGTATGAAAAGCCATGTTTCTGAATGACAGAACCTAATGATGCCATGTAGACAGAGAAGAGAAGTGGTCCAAAAACTGAGCCCTGAGGCACCCCAGTAGTTAGATGTTGCGACTTGGACACCTCACCTCTCCAAGATACTTTGAAGGACCTATCTGATAGGTAAGACTCAAACCACTGGAGTGCGGTTCCTGAGATACCCTTTGCCAATAGGGTTGATAGGAGGATCTGGTGGTTAACCGTGTCAAAAGCAGTGGACAGATCCAGCAAGATAAGTATTGAAGATTTGGAATCCGCTCTTGCCAGTCTTAGGGCTTCAACAACTGAGAGCAAGAGTGGAGCAGAAAGTATCAGTAGCACTGTTAGCATCAAAAGATGCTAACAGTTTAGGGGAAGGAAGCGAAGATGAAACCATAGCAGATAGCCGGGAGGGTGAGAGTGAGCGTAGGTTACGTTGAAAGATGACATGTGGAGATCATGATGAAAGATGACATGTTTTAACTTTTAATTCCCCTAGTGTTTTCACAACTTACAGAAAGAGAAAGAGAGAGACTGATAATGGCAATCAGAAGAGAGAACAATGTCAAATGTAATGTCCCATAGACGCTGTATTAGAAACACCCTCATTAAAATATATATATATAAAAAAAAAAACTTTAATGGTGCTGACAACCATTGAAACGTGGCATCGCAGTCTTGTGAAAAGGGTCCATTATGTTTGCTTTTGTGGCTTTCGATGTTTTAATTTTCTCAAGAGCTTTTTAAATGCCTAATAAATTATATTTTACCCCACACATGACTGACATTTAATGATTGCTGTTTGTTATTAACAGTTTCACTCTTGATATCCAGTGTCATATATACATTTCAAAGAGCTTTTATAGTCAGTTTGATATTTCATTCACACCATGAGGCTTCATGAAGAACAATTAACTTTAAGTTTGATTACTGTCTTCATTTCACTACAGCTTTACACAACCAGCAGAAAGAGAGCAGCTGGAATAAAGATAAGCGGCGAGTGATCCTTGTTGCAATTTTTTTGTGATAATCCCTTATGAAAATTAACCATGGTTTTATTATAGTAAAAGTGTAGTAACCATGGTTACTTTTCGTAAGGTATGTTGATTTTTTAAATAGATGTTTTGTCATTGTAAACAGTAATTTGACCGTTGGCGGCTGATGACGTCACCACTCGTGCCTTTCCAGTGTTGCCAATTCCGCGGTTTTCCTGCAGAATTTGGCTACTTTAACACTGTTGCTGCGGGTTATTTTTCATGTCAGCGGGTTGAAGCGACCCCAATAACGTGATATTTAGCCCCTGAAATGCGAATTTTACCAGGGGAACCATG